ATGTCGGGTTGGTATTCATCTTGAGGCGGCAGGCTTGTCACCTCAGCAGCTGTGACTTTGAAAAAAAAACCCGCGCTCTTAAAAGAGCGTTTTGCGGCTGCGCCTGTCAGGCGGCATCTGTCTCCTCGGCTTGAGGAGGCTTTTAAACTTCGCGCTCTTGGTGAGCGCCAGCGCCAGCGGCTTCAGCGCCCGTGACTTTGCTCTTTTTGTAGTGACCAGCTCTTCGCAATGAACGTCTGGTAGCCTCTTATTGGTATCCCGCCCTCGTCGCCAGTGTTGTAGAGCGGCGGAGACACTAGACTGAAGCCAGAGCGAACGTTTTAAGGCTTTATTCAGCTGAATAAAGGGTTGCCGCGTCTGCCTGGCCAACACGGCAGATCAGCTGGCGGCAACAGCTGATGCCGTCTGACAGCTCCCTTTTATAGCCGGCTGTCAGACGGCTCAGCCAATGGGAGCGTTCGGCGCTCCCGCTTGAACGACGGACCTGGTTGGGGACTCCAACCAGTCCTATAGACACAACAAAAGGGTTGTGCCCGGTACTGGAAATGGTCGTTCTGATAACAAACATGGAGAAACTGGCGATGATGAGACCAGATAGGAATATGGAGGTAAGCCTCCTTGAGGTCTATAGAGGAGAGGAGGTCGCCCTCCCAAACGCTCTCAAGGATAAAATGCAAGGTCTGCATTTTAAAATGCCTGTATGGGATAAATTTCTTAAGAATTTAAGGTCCAAGATGGCTTGCCACCTCCCAGAGGCCTTTGGGATCACGAAGAGGTGAGAATAGAAGCCTTGCTCTTGTTGATCCTCAGGAATCAGTTGAATGGCTCATATGTTGAGATGTTGGATTGCCGATTCCATAACGGCCCATTTAGAACAGTTCCTGGAGGTAGGGACAAACCATCATGGAGGTGGGGAGAGAAACTCCAGTTGGAGGCCTGACCTCACTGTCTCAAGAACCCAGGTGTCCAATGTAGACTCCTCCCATCTGGAGGCAATGAAAGCCAAACGGCCTCTGATGGAGGGGGAGATGGGGCATTCATTTTGAGCGTCTGACTGAATGACCTCCTTCCCCTGGAAAGGGCTGTTTACCGGGGGGGCTGTTGCTGTCTGCCAGAAGCTTTAGGACACTATTCTTGGTAAGCAGGAACGGACCTCTGATCTTTAGAGAACAGAGAGCTGGTTTTGGGTCTGAAAGATGAGGGGTAAAAATATGGCCTGGGGCAATACTCGGACCTCTTCCTTGCTGAAGAGAGAACCTTCCTCTTGTCCTTGGTCTCCGTCAAGTATGGTTCAATGATGTCGCCAAATAACTTATCACCCCTGCACGGAGCCGATGCCAACTTCCATTTACAGCGGGGGTCAGATTGCCAGTTGCACAGCCAAAGTAGCTGCCTGGCTGCCACTGAAGAAGCCATGGGCCTGGAAGCGAACTTGACCAAGTTCAGAGTGCTGTCTGTTGTAAACTCCACTGCCATGATTATCTTATTGAGATCTTGGTGTGCTCTGAATTCAGTGGCCAGGAGCCTCTCCTGAAGCTGGTGAAGCCAGAGCAGTGAAGATCTCATAAAAAACTAGAGTGCCATTGATGCTTTAATCACCCAAGCTGCTGCCTGATGAGTGTGCTTGAGGATCTGCTCAAATCGTTTGTCCTCTGCCTTGAGCACATCATCTGGTTTGGTAGGGGTGCCCAAGGAAGAAAACGATGCCATCACTGGAGCATCCACTGAAGGCATTAGCAGGGCATTGGCCAGGGACGGGCCCACGTTATAGAATCATCTGTTGTGAGCAGATGGGCTAGGCCCTGCCCCTGGAGAGGTGCACTGTTCTTTCACTAAATCAAGGAAAAGTAGTGGGGAGGGGAAAACCTCCACTGGCTTGGAGAACAACGAATCAGTGTGACCAGATGTGGTCACCTGTGGTTCTGGGGCCACCTCCTTAGGGCTTAGCTAAGCAGTGACCAAAGTCTTGTGTTACAAAGGCTTGAATAAGGAAGGCCTAAAAACCCCTGCTAAGGGAGGCACATTGGGGTCTATGAGTTCCCCTTCCTCTTTCTCAGAATGACTAGAGCGACTATGGTCAGAGGCCTTGGAATAGTCTTCCTCTTCTTCCTCCCCCCACTCCGAATGGGAGGGCTAGAGAAAGAACTGCTGCCTGGAAACACCCTATTGAGAGAGGGGGACCCCTTGGAGAAAACCCTGGTGTAACAAGGCCAAGCCTCCCCCTTGTGGATAAAGGAATTGTTTAATTGTTCTGCTGGGCCCTGCCTTATGGCTACAGAGACCATTTCCCTAAGGTCCTTGGGCCTATTCTCAGGATGTAGGCCCGCAGCTGTGGGAGTGTAGGTTGCTGCTCCCTTTGAGACCCCTGACCACTGAGGAAGGAAGGGCCAGGCCCCCAGGTAGCTTGTCTAGAGGAAGACCCTGATCTGCTTCGGTCCTGGAGAAACTGTTATTCCTCTACTCTCTCTGGGGACCAAGCTAACAGGTGACTGGGAGCAGACTCACACACACACCCGGAAGAAACTTCAGGGCTAACGTGAACCTCCCCAGAGTGAGAAACCTGTTGAATCTGGGCCTGCATCTGTGCCAAAGTCTTTGCAAACTGCTTCTCAAGTGCAGACCTCTTCTCAGCCCTAAGCTCCAATTTTGAAGTCTTTCTGGGTGCTAGGGCCTTGGCTCTGATTTTTGCAGCAGCCTCTCTGTTGGCAGAATGGCCTCTTTGTCTTTTTTTCTTCCTCAAAGGGGCTTCAGAGTCTTGGGTGTCTTCCAAACCTTTGGGGCCAGGTTGGGGGGCTTCCCTCTCCATCTTGCTAACAGAGCAGACACCAAAGGTGCTGTGAGCTTCCCCCACGTAGGTGCTGCTTATTGCTAAGGCCAGGTGAGTCCGGAGACTGTGAAGCCTTGGGGAAGCACTTTCCCCTGAAACAAAATGGCCACCTGGCACTTCCAAAATGACTGCCTACCACATAGAGTGGCCCTGGGATGACCTCACCACCTTCTTCACTCTTTAGGCTTTTACCAGGCCCCGAGCGATCAAGAGAGCTATCTGCAGCCAGTGTTTTGTTTAGAAGTGCGTCCACCTGTCTTGTATAAGCAGAAAAGCATAGGATTGTGCATTGCTATGGTGGACAGGGATGCATTCGTCTGCAATTCTTTAAACAAAATATGGCCTTTTCTGGGGAAGAAAGGCAGCTGCATAATCCCAGGAAACTGCATAATCCCAGGAGGGAAAATGCAGCTGCCTTAAAGAATTGCAAACAGGTGCAGCATTCCTTTCTTTATGCTCTCCAAAATATTTTTTGCATTTGAAAATGTAGTGATACAGTACAAGAGGGCAAGTAAGAATACACAATCAAGAAATGTTATTTGAAATAGGTGCTTTGTAAACTTATCTGTAGCAAGTCTTCCTACTGGCCACTGTTTTGCAAAAGCATTCACAACAATAAATATCTATCAGAATCCAAATATAGGGTTCCAACTTTAGGTGACATTTATGTCTGCTTATTTTGCTTCTACTATTTATATTCCATCATTATTTTACAAGTGATTCATTTTATAAGTAAAGAAATAAGTGATAAATCATCATTTTATAATTATTCCTGAAGTGGAAGAAACAATTACATAAAATGCCTCAAATTTAATTGAATATATAATTACAATTAAACCAAAGATGCAATTCCAATTAGAATTTGTTCACAGAAATTTCCAGATTAACCCATGACATCTCCAGCAAGTGATAGGAAAGCTCTTTTTCCACCCAAGGCCCAGAAGAAATAGTACTGTGTTAAATAGACTATAAGCATGGAGGTTAAAATATATATATATATGCAGTGTTATCTTCATTTTAGATGTCTCAAGGGTTTTGTGGTTCACTGTGTTTTCTTGTCTGTGGGAAACTGATCCAACTGGCTCTTTGAGTGTTTAAGGTTGCAGACCCCTGCTCTGTGTGTGTGTGTGTGTGTGTGTGTGTGTGTGTGTGTGTGTGTGTGT